CTGTCAGAAGTGCCTATCTTGGTGCAACATAAAACATTATCAAGTCAGTGTAAAATCTGAAATCAGGGGTAATATATAAGGTGTTATTTCAATTAATCACCTCTAGGAGCTGCTCTAATATCATGTCGATTATGTTTACCATTGTATTACATGAAACTTGTTTTTATGAGATAATAACACCACATAAAAAACTTTTTTCTTACAGTTAGAATATTTTAGGGGTATGTTGAAAACAGAATGAGTTACAAATCCAATAATCCACTTTTCTCCATATGATAGAAAATTGTCACCATCTCTGCTGCATGCTTTGATTAAAACTTAATCACTTTGTATCCTTAGTCTTAAATAGAAAAAGGCCTGGCGCTCCACCAAAGTGAACCTATGACATATGCTACTGAGACAACATTTTTAGGATTTTTCATTAAATTTAATGCTGGGAAGAGAAAATACACTGACAGACAAAGAGCTGACAAAGCAGGGGCATTGAGCTGCAGAGCTAACAGGAAAAGTAGATGCCTTGTGTCCTGAACAATCAAATTTATGATCCAGAGGAAATACAATAATCCAAAAATAGAATATTAATGGAACTCCAGGCATGAAGCCAACCTGCATCATGTGATCATGACATTGAGATTTTCTTCTATACAGAATATAAACTAATGAGAAGGACTGTGACAAGGAAGAAGAAAAGTCACTATTTTTTTCATTTTTATGGCTAGTACAAGATGTTTAACAGAGAATGATGAGTAGTCTTTCAACGAAAAATTCTCTGTGTGCTGCCTACCATCGAAAAACTGTCTGGCAAGTCTTGTAGAACGGGAAAAGTTAAGTTGGAAAATAAATATAATATAAATACTTGCATTTAACAAATACACAATTGGTTATTACGTTAATTTAAGTTGTGTCTGGTGGTGGCTGGATAGATGAATGGATGGTATTTTTGGCCCTCTGGTGGTCAAACTGGACTAATGCATCTTATTAGTTTATTTCACCAAGACAGCAGATGCTATCATGGATCACAAAATTGTTGCTCTAATCAGAAGTATGATGCTGGCATCGTTTTTTGTAAAATGCTAGCAATGTTGAGTGCGATAATACTGTCGTCTTCACATGTAGGCCGAGCTTTTATGTTAGTCAGCATCGTGGAGGCAAGAAGTACCAACCTGGAAATTAGCGCTGTAAGTGATCTAATGTGC